ATAAAGTAACGAGAACTTGTACGTGGCATAGCGAAAAAGCCAGTATTACAGTATTGTGTAAAAACTGGCGTATGATAAGCCACAATCGATCAAGGATTAGTGTAAGCCGCAGTCATGCATCAATGATATATGAACTTAAGTTAGGATTTGACCAATCACAAAAATCCTAGATATAACAAAAAATAAATTAATAAAAAGGACGATTACAAAATTGTCTGTTAGTAGGTCTAGCTTGTAAAACATCTACAGAAATGAAAGAAAAGATATAATGGATCTAGGGAATGCTTATTAATAAAATAATAATAGTAACTTCACCTTTACAAGCTAATGAACTAGGCCAACAGAATTATTAAATGATTAGTTCTTCATATGCTATACTAATTAATTGTGTAAATGAAGAAGAATCATCTAATTAATTTGCAAGAGTTAGTTTCACATTCACAGAAAGAATGGAGCAATACTGTACAGTGAGAGTGTGAAGGTGGAAGGCAGAGAAGTAGATCACATCTTATGAACCTTAGTTTGAACTTATTGTTTATAGGTGAACCTTCCACCTAGGAACTGCCGTGGATTTCCATTTCCTGCTTGTTGCTATGCCAAAGACACCTTAATGACTTGTGGTGGTTTAAATTTCTATCAATTCATTATATAATAATATAGGTATCAAGTAGCTATGAAAAGATGTCCTTTTTCCTCATTTTAAAAATGTTTATTTCATGTAATTTTTAATTTCTGAATCACTATAATAATAGATACATTTTTGTATGTTTTGTATTGAAAATGAGTTTAGATAAAGGAAAGAAAGGGAAATAAAAAAGAAAACTGCAATTAAAAATAACCTATAGGACTGAGAGTATGCATAGTGGAAAATTAGCCACACATAGTTCCAGCAGTATATAGAAACAAACAAAAGCAAAGTAGGCCTAATCTAATAATTGATCACTCTCAAATTAGTCAACTCTCAACCAAGACTGCATGGACTGCATTCTGGTGAATTGTGATGACTGAATGTTGGGTTTAGTAACTATTTATTTCACATTTTAATGTGAAAAAAATAGATACCAAACCCAATTTTAAAAAATCCCACAGCAAGTCCAGTAAAGTAACCAACATGAGGGAACTGTGAGGCTGTTTAAAGCCAGCTCCAGAGGATGTACTGTACTGTAGGCCCCTACATGTTTTTAGATTTCTGTTGCTTCATACTTTAATACTGAATTTGTCGCATAGCTATCACCCATCAGTACAATATTGTTTGGTTATTTTAGCACTTATTGTTGTATTAGTATGGGAATGTGGTTTACGGTACTTAAATGTACTTGTTAAGTCATTAAATCTCTGGCCTTTCATACTTGTTATATGAAGCATGAAGTGTACTAGCAAAACAATATGCCTTTCCCTGTCTCATCAGTGATTGGACAGGATCTTCCTCTATTGTGGATAAACAGTTGAATTATAGGGTGTGCTGCTCTAAGCCACACGGCAATACAGTACAGCAGTAATATCTTCCTACAGGCCTGTCGATGGTCTTGGTCCCTAATTTGACTTGGAATGACTTCCTACTTCTGGCACTAACTGGCCTGATGTTTTGAAAGCTGAATATAGGCCTGGCTATGTAAGAAAGAGATGATAATTTTTCAAAGAGCCTGCAGCTTTCAAATATAATATCTTCTCTGTGTGTTTGTTTAAGGAACAGTTATGGTCTGGGTAAGTATAAATTCAACAGGAAATAATATAAATGTCAAAAAAGAGTTAATGTACCCATTCAGTAAATATTCAAAAATCATGTCGGTTATTTTTTACTCGTACTGCTTCTAGGTTTCATTGTCAACCAATACTTATTTCGTAAATTTTGGTTTGTAAAATAGTAAAAAAAGACCTGAAATCTATAGTTAGCATTTTAAATTTAATGTTTCTTGAGTATCAATAACAAAATCATAAAACTTTCTGTACACAGTGTGTGAAAATAACACATGTTGTATCTAAAGTTTTATGATTTTGTTTTAAATTTAATAATTTAAGTTTGGGAAATTGAGTTTTTGGGTCCTATTTGGTAAAAAAATTTTCTTTGACCCTAGAATTTCAAAAATTTGGTTCGTTCAGCCTAATATTCACTCTTTTAGCCTAATGTTAACAGATTAATATTTAAAGTACAGTAATTATATCTCCCAGAATATAACCTATCTCCCATAAGTTTGTACTATTTGCATGTTTTTATTGCTTTATTATCAATGTCTCAAGGAAGTCAGTGCCTATGGCTATCGACATGCATAGCAAAAAAAATTAAGTATGTTAAGAAAGTTTGTTTAACTAGATCTCCTGGAAGGGAATGCTTCCAAACTTGGGACCCTTAGATACAAGTATTTTGATCTGCACACGTGTATTATTTTCACATCTTGTATGCCTCATTTCACGTACTTCAGAAGCATTTGTCTCAGAAGAATAAGACAAGAATGCTGGAAATTCATCACACTTGGATAAATAATCAAAAAAGGACAACGAGACAAACTATTTAACATGAACAATTCAAGTTTTTGTAGTAATTGTGAGAAAGTTTGCTTCAGTTATTGGAGAATTCTCCTGCAGTAGTTTTCATACACTGCCTCTTGCAATAATCTTTGTATAAAGACTGAAATGAGTCCAAATAAATACAAATAATATTTTTTGTTACACAAATATTATATTTCTGTTTCTAAAAAGAAGCTCAGAAAATATTGTAATCTAAAAAAACACGATCATGATGAATTTATTATTATTATTTGTTTTTTTGTTTAATTATGAAGTGGTTTAGTGTTTCATGTCAAAGTTCCTGGATTTTGAAATATTGGTAAAGAAATGTTTAAATTAAAATAACAGAATTCTATTTTCATTTAATTATTTGTAAACAATCATGAGAAAATATGAAATAAACTACAGTATAAACAAATAAACAACACAAGATGGCTTACAAATTGGTCAATGGATGACATAAAAGCTCATGAGCGCATCCCTGCCGTCTCTCTTCAAAGACATTAATTCAACATTAAATGACATGGAAATAAACATCAGACATAAAAATCAAGCTGCTTTTGTACAGATCCATCTTTTGCATGCAAATGCAGTTTAGATGAAAAAAAAATGTCTTCATAAATCACTAGAGGGATATTATTGCACTTTGATGGTAAACTATGAGAAATGAAAAATTTAAACAACGCTTTTTTATATTCAGAGCAAAGGAATGTTTAATTAAAGTTAACAGAATGTTTAATTTATATATTCCAACTTGTCTGGGAAAATAAATTGGAAAGTTCTTTTTTTCTTTATTAATTTATTGTTACTGTATGCTGACCTGTGTGGAATTTTGTTTATTTCATTTGTTTTCTCTCATAAAACAAGCCTAACAAAACAAAACAAAAACTGTGCTGAAAAGAGATTCCAAACAAGTAAACCAAACTACTGTAATATCAAAGTACAGCAGGGCATACATGTACAGTATGCAAACATTTTCATGTTTATACTCTAGGCCTACATCCATACTAAAGTGTACCATAATCAATGGAAATTAATTTTTGGAATAAACCATGAGACTTATATTTTTTTTTGCCTGAAACACTAGAGTTTATCTCCAATGGCAAGAGAATTAAGCGATTAGGAATATGTAATACTTAAGTGCATTTTAAATGACTGGATTTTTTTCTGCAGTATCATTACCATGTTTGGTGGCATGCAGTTAAATTCTCATTCCAAAATTTTACAAATATTGTAAAATGTCCAGGGAGCACTGTATGTATTATTTAATAAGTGTTCACTTAATATATTTTATTTTATTTCAAGATATGAACTTGCAGTATTTTAGCATTTTTAAGTTAATGAGTATAATTGAACTTAAAGTTATAGAACTTTATTTGAACATAAAGTTATAGAACTTATTTGAACATGAAAGTTAATGACTTATTTGAACACCTAAGTCGATTAAGTTATTTGAACACAATAAGTTATTTATGAGTGAATTTATAACTTACTGTATTTGAACATCTAGGTTAATGCCACCGAACGAATGAGAGTGTCTGTAGTATAACCTACATTTTAATTGCAATCAGAAATATGTTGATTCGAATATATATTCGAATTTATTGTTGTTTTTACAATTATCTGATGCTTATAATCAACTGTGAAATCATTTAGTAGGAAATAAATGGCTTACAAGAAGCATATTCTTTTGGACCCCCACAATAGGTAATGGAACTCCACAACTTGCTTCTGGGACATAGTTCCCCCTTGGACCATAGGTTCTCAATGGCCACTTTGTGTGTTATCCAATAATTGCATACCTTTTTCTTTTTCTAGAACTCAATATTTTTAATACTAATAGCAATAGTTGTGATGGTAATCGAGTACTATGTTGCTATGTCATGGTACCACATAGAAATCACTTTGTTACTAAGCAACTACTACGGTACCTACCAAATGATCGATATGTCTGAGTACCTTCATAGCTGAACTAAAGCTTCCACATCTCAGAAAATAGTAATTTCTGATTAAAACCTATTAAAAGCATTACACTTTATTGTCGTCTAAATGTTAATTACGTAATTAGTAATTTTTTATAGAGCACAAAATAGACATTGTTATGGAAAAGGCCATAGAGGCTGTAGCCAGACACTGATCCGCATTGACCGCTTGGTGGTGTTGTCCACTAACTAACCACTAATGAACTTCACATGATGTTGTGACATCAACATAATATAGTAGTATTATAGAAGAATTAATATTATTGGGAGGTCTCCTGCGTGTTGTTCAGTATGGGTGCATATGTTGGAGAAAATTATTTCCTAATAGACTATGTTGCTGCAAAAACAGCAAAAAAATTTGATGCTGTTTTATTTAGTTAAACATATTTTCTTGGCTCCAATTGCATACTACAGTACCTATATTCTTTTTGTTTTTTTTGTATGCAATAAAGAGGAAGAGAAAGTTCTAAAATGTGATTTAATGAATTTCTACTATTGTTTATGTTTTTGTAGGATAAATATGCCCCGATTGAACCCGTGGATTACGAAGAAGTAATAATCAAGAAGAAGACGGCCATCACCAATGACCCACTACGGCTTATGCTCACGTTCCCTCATGATGATGTATCCGTAAGTATTCTTTAGTGGGTACCCTTATTGTTCTTATTAATTAATAGGTTGGTAATAAATACATAGAAATATTAACATATACAAGTTTATTAAGTTATTGTGTATCTTTAAATTATCTTAAACATTTCAAACCACACTTAATATTTGGATGCAAGAAATAAAGATTCCATTATTACTTTTTGCTATTTGGGAATTTGTTGATATTAAACGTTTGAAACTAATGGACTTGGCAACGTTGATGACTCTTGAAATGATAAATAGATCATTGGATCATGTCTGTCGCCACATTGTAGCCTTGCTGAGCCAGACGCACTATAGCCTTTATAAGTTGAGTAGATTGCAATGTTGTTGAATCTCGGATTTAAAGGATTATTAACTATGTATACAGTGAACAGGGAACGTGTTCTGATACAGCTCCTTTGAGAAAAGTAGCGCAACGTTAGAGTACAAGGGTCATCAAGGATTTTCAAAAGTGCAACGTTTAAGATAAATTATTCACTGGGTGCTTCTCTCATATTTTATCCTCAATGATACAACAATACTTGGACAGTTACAGTACTCCAAATAAAACAGTTTGAACCTAATGATAAAGTAATTTTGATGCTACATATCGGTAATTGTGAAGGCATTTTAGAAATGTTTATGTCTTTGCCTACACATAATAAGCAGTAGACTTAGTGTACTGTATAGTAAATTGCTTGATTCATTAATTTGCGCTTCAGTCATTCATATGATGCCATTCTTCATAAATACTGAAAAAAGTGCTACAAATATTGACTGCTCATGAGGGGAATGGTGAAATCTATTGCCCCGAGGTGATGTGGAGACTGTAGCCTAACTTCCCGAGGACCAAAGGCCCGGGGGAAGATAGTAGGTACTATAGAATTCAGTGTTCCACAAATCTAGAGCAGTTAATATTTGTTTTATACACCTCATATATAGATTGTACGATGCCTAAAAAAATGTAATAATGAAAAGACTACCTACCAAGTAGGCCTATCCTAGGTCCTGAGCCTACTTCCTAAGCGGTCAGCGGCCAATCTCTCTTGTCGTAGAGGGTGTAGTCCCCTTTTACGTCCATGCGTGTCATAATTACATAGCAACATTTATGGGGCTTGGAAATTACATCTCAAAAGGGCAAAAAAGTACTATCATTTTAATAGCATGATAGTACTTTTTCCCCAGAAATTTATGAACTATCATTCAAACCTACTGTACGTCATAGGAGTGATAGTTGAAGTTACTTCCTGCTTTTTAACCAATCAGATGCCTGGCATCTATTGTGGTATATAACACTTCATATTGCACCTCAAAAACTCACAGCAAGTATGCTTAACTACTGAAGCCTAAACACACAAGAAATTTCCCAATGGTGAAGCAGTGTAAATCTTAAAATCGCAAATAAAAAAATAGATACATAACATTACAAATTGATAGAAGTTACAAAACTTTTCTCCTGAGGTAAAATTTGACATTTTGTGCAAAAACCAACGATGTGCCAATTAAAAACTCATGCTTACAGAAAGTGGTGTTTTGTCATGGATTCGTCGTTACTCCGTATAAACTTCATCAATTTAAACTTTTCTTCATGAGGCATCCGTGACGATGTGCCAGGTTTGAAAACATATTATGACATAGATGGATTGTGAGCAGGCTCATTACGGTGTTTCTGTGATGTCCAGCGATAATCTTTAAATCCATAGAGCTTTGTAATTTGTAATAACACCATGTTGATCATGCAGCAGTTAAAATGCCATGTTTTATTTTGGAACATTGTATTAGAACTTTCTCAAACTGAAATTAATGATTATTAATCATTGAATTGACATTTACTAAATTATTAATTTGAGGTTCAACAAATCTTCATAGATACTCTTAATGTTGAACTTACTAATTTTACTTTGCTCTATTAATCTAGGTCTATAGTTGTAATATTTTATTATCACAATATTATTATATATAACATTATTATAATATTGAATTATTAGTAAACAAAATGTTCACTAAATTATAGTTTTGAATCTAATTACTATTACGTTTACTATTTAGAGCTCTCTTTGCACTAACAAATAATATAAGTTGGAAATATTGAAAAATATTGAAATCCTCTTGAATAAGTTAGAGTTAGAAAGGCATTTTAATATTGATTGTAACACAAAATGGCTCAAATACATTAAAGACAAAATTATAATACAAGATAATATAAAATGGTTTAATAATGCTCAAGTTAAACCATCATTAGAAAATTATTTAAGATATAAAAATAAACCAAAAATGGAAAAGTATTTATTAGAAAGGGACAGCTACCATGCATCAAACCTAAAATTTAAAGCCCGAACTATTTCATTGCCTCTTGAAGGGAGAAAACAAATCATGGTCTCCACAAAACTTAGGCCAATGTTTATTATGTAATTCCAAAGATAAAGGAACAATAGATCATTTTATTTTAAGTGTAATAGATTACAATTTATTAGAGAACATATTTTTAAAAACTACAAGAAGAACTATGCCACAGTGACCTAAATCTAGTTTGTAACTTATTTATTTCGGGTTCCTCTGAACTAAAGTATCACTTTTTCTAGATGATCTTGAAATTCATTATGAGGACCAAATTATAACAAACCCAATTTTAACTCCTTTTAATTATGAAATGGCAGGAAAAATCTTTAACAAGTATTGTAAAATTCTTTTAACTAAAGCATGGGAAGAACGTAACAAAATCTATCTTCTTAAAAGAGAGAGGAGGAGGAGGGAGAGGGGAGGAGAACAGAAAAAAAAGAGGAAGGAAAAGGAAAGAAAAGGGGAAAAAACTATTATTATCATTTATTTATTTTTTTCTTTCTTTTCTCTTATATGTTTCTTTTCAGTTTATTCAGATAAAATGTAATGCATTCTCCGGGAGATGGAGTGCGCGCCGTAAGGTTTCGGCATTAATCACCTATTGTCATGAATTCCTGGCAATGACGTGAATGGTGTTGAGAGAGCAGTGGCGTGTAGTTCATTTCCTGGGATGCGTATTATAATTTCTTTTCGTTATTAGTTTAGTAAAAGATTCAAAATAATGATGAAGTACTGTATTTATTAGACGGTGTATTAGGTTAGTAAGAAATGTCTATTGCTAGACAAATGTACATATGTGTTTTTTTTTCTTTAAATCTTATATTGTGAAATATTGTTGCACATCTCTTTAACGATTGTGCCTCTGTTACAAAAGAGAAACAATAAAGTTATTATTATTATTATTAGAAATTATTTTTTGGGGTTTTTTATTTGTAAAATTTAACTTATTTTAAATCGGATGTTTTTAAATGGTTTTTAAGTATTTAAGATTTTGTTGTTTTTTCATAAAAATTAATTAAAACTTTATAATTTATAAATTGTGAACTTTTTTTTTATCTTAGTCATCAACTCAGCCACGGAAAAATAGAACAACACGAACGTCTGTTCCTGAAACCGGAAGTGATGAAGCTCAAAATCTGTTTGTTAAAGAGGTAGGAAAATCAATATTGAAATTAGAATTGTTGAAATTAAATTATTAAAAATGATGAAAAATGGATGAATCCTTTAATACAGAATACATGTAGCCTATAGAACCTGTAAATATTTTTCATTTGAGTCATATTTTATCTTGATGAGCATAATTTCAATCCAATTGGAAGCTTGTATACCATTAATTTCAGAAATTAATTCTTCAAAAATACAGATTACTTGTTATTATAATCATACAAGATGCATTTATTTAATTATTTTCATTTTTGTTCTATTTAAAACGATCACAAGCATTGCTTTATCAGAAATTTTTAACAACAATAAGTAGTTTTTACCCGAGAACAAATATAGTCTCTCACAAATGCCAAGTATGTGTAAGAGATTTAATATTTAATGAGAAGATGGATTGTGTATTTATACAAAATCTCTAGAATGTAAGTTGCCTTATATGCTAGCTACTGAGGAAGATGTTTACTAAAAATGTTGATTTATTCGTTAGTCTGGATGTCTTTACAAATTTGTGATAAATATAGCATATTGTTACTTGAATTATTTAGTCTCCTACACAAGGTAAGATGTTGTTTCACAGGAAGTTTAAATTATTTAAATGCAGTGAACACATACGTAGATACATTAAAGAAAAAAAACACACAAATATATTAATTAGAATCTAACAATATGATGCTGACTATAAGGTAATGGGCAGTGGTGATCATATGTTAATGACTAGATTATGCGATTGACCCATACTATAAGAGTGTTGCATTCAAAATAGCACTAAGGTGCAATATTGGTTGTATCAACATATATCAAAAATGCTGAGGTATATCTTTAGATAAGCTATAAAAAATTATGAAATTGCTCAAAAACATTAATGAAAGTATTTACAAACCAAAAATGAATATTTACAAAATTCCAAAATTTTGTAAAAATACATTTTTTTCCTATTCAGTAAAAATATGTGAATAAATATATGAATAAATAACCAAATTTGCTTTGATAATGTTTGTGTCACTTGGGGTAAAGTGTTTCCCATTTGTTGAACCCGGAAGAAAAATAAGCATCATTTTCGCTACAAAATTTCAAGTATTTTTTTTCCTCATAAATAGCAAGAATTCATCATGTCATTCAGATAATTCTATTTATAGGATCTGCATTGATGTCATTTATTGATGGAATAGTATTATCCAATCACAGGCACTCTCCTTTCCAAATGGTGTCAGGGGCACATATTGTACAACCATAGACTCTCTACTTCAAAATGATGTCATGGGGAGATATACAGTACAGTATATTGTTTTAATCACATTCTTTGTAATTTCCAATGTCTTGGGAGGTAAATATTATCCAATCACAATGCAGTTTTACATACAATGATGTCAATTTAGCCTTGTGTTATTGTGAAAGGTGGATGTTATCATGTTGTCTGGTATTAAGTACTTATCTGTTGGGATGGATCCCTATGGGAAGAAATATCTTAACTTGATATTTTCGTAATATCTTTGAATTTTACCCAGATGGTACAAGTTCAACTGCATTTTTCTTGCAGATACTGTTAGCTATATAAATGTAACTTATTATTATTATTATTATTATTATTATTATACATTAAAAAAAATAAAAAAATTTAAAAAAAAATAAATAAATAAATAAAATTTTATTTAGTTGATTAAACCATGAAGTGCACAATCTAAAATCCATTTAATGATTTATACATCATCAAAGCTCTTGTAAAAGATAAGTCATGCTGGAAATACCTTATCCAAAAGCTTACTATAGCAGCCCAGACGGAGGAGTCAGAAGACTTCTTGGCGTTGAGGCAGTAAAGTCAAGTCAGTCAATCCATGAAGTTACAATAAAGTAAAACTGGAAATTTATATACAGTACATATCATGCAATATAAATAACATTAAAAGTACAAAAGATAATTAAATATTGTACAGTGTAATATACTCAAACAATTGTCTCAACTTGCACTTTAATACTGTTTGGGAAGTACAGAAAATTCAGAATTGAAATATAAAACATTGAATTTCTCATTTAAAAAGATCAAATAAATGTTTACAGTAACTTCCAATGAAGACAAGTTTTAAGAAATCTTTTATTTAGGAAAATCATAAATTTATTGCCAGCAATATAAGATTAAGAGGCTATGCTGAAAAGATCAATATTATGTATGCCTCTTGAAAATGATGAGGAAAATAATTTGCTTTATTTTGACTAATTAATTGTGTAGATGATTTATATGTGTTAACAAATGCTACATGTTATTAATAAAGTCTACATGCTTAATTTCAGTGCATTAACGCATATACGTCAGACTGGAAAATGATTGATAATAAATATGCAGAGTATTCCGGTGAATATAGTGATCTAAAAAAATGGTAAGTTACTGTATGGTTAAGTATCAGTTTTTTCAAGTGTTTTGTATAACATTAATTTTAAGCTACTTTAGCTGTGATATTTTGTTCCAGACTTTCACATTCATTGTGTACTTGAAAAATGCAGAATATTTATGAAATTTATGTACATTGTAAAATGTCTGTTGTGTGTAAAATATGTGAGATTTGTGTTGTGCCTGAAATACTGGTAATGGTATGTGATGTGTAGGTGGAATTGTGATATTCTAAAATAGAATGTGTCTGCATGTTAAAATTGTGATTTTGAATTTATTACCTTTCCCAAGGAGGCTATGAAATTACCACTGTCTGTCTGTCTGTCTGTGTGTGTGTCTGTCTGTTAGCATGATTATGCAAACACTAAGAAATGTATCATCATAAAAATTAGTGGAATGGTACCAAATAATATAAGAAAGAGACCATAATTTTCGTAAGAAAAAGTTACGTTAAATTCTCCAACTCTATTCTAAAATATAAATTTGATATTTGATTTCCTTATGACAAAAACACCGGAAACTTAGCTATACATTACAATATGAATCCGATGAAGGAAGCTTGATGTAGCCGGAAAATATGTTGAATAAATGGACTGAAACAAGCAATAATATCACATGCAATTATGAAACAGTACTTGGCAATATGGATGTTAGACATTATATCAATCCAGTTTAGAGCTGTACCTCATCAGTCACTCACATGATCAATCCTATGGGAAAAATCCCAGTCAGTGCATGTTAATTATTGCAGTATTTTCAGTCTGCTTTTAAGAACATGGATAGACCAAGCCATTCCCATGGGAAATGCAAAGATAATGATTGACACAAGATTTGAACCATTAACCTTTGAACTCGTAATGCAATGCTGCTTGCTCTGTTTAACTTTTCCACTCGTAAAATAGATTATGACGTAGGCAGATTCAAGGGCCCAGTCAGACCCTCCCCATTTTTTTTGTAATTATATATGAAAAATAAAGGGGAAAAAAGAAAATCATATTCAAATTCATAGTCCTAGATTCCAATTTCTGGCTATCTAGAGTTACAGTACCGTAATCATAAACTTTGGTACCTCAGCCCCAATCATGGTGAACTAGACCCTCCATCTATCAAAATGCCTCTCTGGCCCCACCTCTATTTTGAATTCCTGGATCTGCCACTGTATAATGTGCATTATATGTAATATTATACTAATTTGTATAATAAATTGAGTGTTTAAGGTAAATAGTAATTGAGGCGCCCTTTAGTCTTTGCTTAATTTTACAGCAGGTCAAATGTAAAGAACGCAATGTGGTGATGTAAACAAGTCAGTAATTAGAATGATAAATGATTTATACTTAATTTTTAGAGAAAAATTTATATCATGAGATGTCATGGCTACAGTGAACAGAAAAAGTTTCTTGAAACAAAATAATTATTTTAAAAAAGCACCTCATATTTCAATCGTATTGTCAAGTCTGTTATTGGTTTTGAAAGAAATATAGACTTTATTAAATTTAAACACCTGAATTATGATTTAGTGCTCATAATCAATATTTTAATTATTTGAATTAATTATTTATTTCTGTGAAAAGGAATGAGCAGAAGGCATTGACTCATCCGGAACTAAAATTTGAAATTGATGAAACGGACGAAGATTCTAAGCTTGATGATCAGTTGATAAACAATGTACAGAAGCAGGGCTTCATGTACAAGACACCGTTTGGCAACAAGAATGATCAGTTACAATTCATGAGGGTAAGGCTACCATAGATGTTCCAATAAGCGTTTATTATTTGAGAACGTTGCTTATTGAGTGCAGCACTTTTCCACATTAATGTAGTGCTAAAATAAAAGCATTCTACATAGTCAATGCTGATTTGTTGCAACGTTAGTAATTTAATCTGTTAGAAGTCGGTATTCCAATGATACGAAACATCAAAGCAAGTACTCGTGATTAAGCACCATGACGTTTATTCCAAATAAACTATTCTCTAATAAATGCTGCTTATTTGAGTCAAGTCTATTTTATTTGATACTTGTAGCATGTAAAATAATTTAAAAATCGGAAAATCCGTACCTGGAAGTTGTTAATTCGAAAACTCACTGTTGTCAGAAAGAAATACTGTACAACTTCTGAGTCACTAGAAAGGTATGACTCCAATTAAGTAGTTTTGTTTATATCTATCAAAATATTATTATCATTATTATTTATTAAGATAATCTTGAATATTGCAGACATACAAACGCCGTTATTTCTACCTGAAACAACTTGCTGACAAATCATATTTGCTATCATACCACAAAGATGAAAAGAGCCGTACAGCCAAAGGGACCATTAGTCTTGCAGAATTAACATCAGTTCAAAAGGTAAATTCCAAATTTATGTTCTGTATGGGGTTTATAATACAGGAATAATAAAAAACACTCATCTATATATTACATACTGTTTGTTTAAAAAAAAAAACATGAAAGATATGGTAATTTACAATTTAATAATTGATGGAATATTCCCGAAATGTTAAATATTGATTTAATTAATAATGAATTTTACATATTAATATACAGTAAAAACATGAATATTTATATCCGATTTACAAGAGAGCTGAATTATTATACTTTATCAGGCTGTTTTAAATGAAATTATCCAAACTACACATTCAGATAAACAAACATACTAAAGCATAATTTTTGTGTGAAATAAAGTTTCATGTTTATTGATAATTTCTGTAAACCTATGATGAATGGAATATTCCAATGTGAAATATTGTTCAATTAAAAGTTTAAAATACATTTTCTTTTCTTTTAAATTCTGTTGTTTTGTTGACAGCCGCACGCACCATTTATGCTATTAGATATTTTGGGGCTTGCGATCTATAGGGTTACTTCTTTAAGAACGTTTTATATATTCCATTTTTAATCTTCCCACTTAATAGACATTTTAAGAAATTGTCCCTAGAGAGTAACAAGGACACAATATACTTTGAGGATATATATCAATTGTAATAGCACCCTCTATGGTTGTATGTAGCTGCAGGAATAATCGCCTTCACTGCCATTTCAACTTCTGTCCCTAGAGAAAGACAAGGACAGAAATATACTTAATACAGAATTGGCAAACCATTAGCTGCCTGCTGCAACTAAAATTATGGAATGTTTTTAGAGCATTCTAGTTCGAATATAACTTTAGCAATTCTAGAACAAATGCTGTGTTGAAATATTGCACTGAAATAGAAACGATTAAATATATATTTTCATATCAATGAAATAATTAAAAATAGTAATTTAAAGATAAACAATAAAAGAAAGAAAGAAAGAAAGAAAATGAGTGTTTAATCAATTTAGTTCCATTAGATAATGATAATAATTAATAATAATAATAATAAAAATGATAATAATAATAATAATAAATAAATATTTACATTGCACTGGTTTCTGTTAAAAGTCTGACCGTGAATTATTTAGTATAAATATTTTTTTAATACAATGTGTAAAGTAGCAAAATGTTTCTGTTGAAAGTAAATACCAGTAAACAAAAACAACAATTTTATTTTACAGTATCTATCTATTGCATCTTCTGCAATATTGTGTTGAATGATGCACTAATTTATGTATATATTGACTTTAGAAGTCTTGCAATAACTTATAATATTGTTTTACTTTTAGTTATTAATTAGTGTGATTTAAATTTATAAATTTAATTTACCATACTGACTTTTCAGGAAGGTTAATAAGAATACCAAATCAAGAATCTCTTGACAATAATAGTGGTGCTGCCTCAGTCATATACCCAAATAACTCAATAGTTAAACCCCAAGAGATTATGATTAATTTACTGTTGAGAACGTTTCTGGGAATAACATTTGTTAAAGATTGCTTCCAAGTAATGTGATAATGTAAATGGCATTTAAGTGTGAAAACGCTTGTGAAATTGTGAAAAAAATATGAAAGTTATGAAATAAGGAAGACACCTATGTAAGAACACTTCTGTGAAAATTTACCTTTATTCAGTTTGAATTATGCACATCGGTCAAAAATGTTGAGAATAGTCAACAATCATTGATTTCCCTAACTCTTACACAATATACATAATTACATGTTATAAATAAGGCTGGAAAGTGGATTGTAATAAAAAATAAAAATTTTTTTTTTTCTTTTTTTATATATATCAATATACCAAGATCATTCATTGTATGCAGAGTCATTAGCAGTATGGTACCAACAACTCAATATCCTGTTAGGAGGAAGAAATTATATAGCCGCAGAAATGGGCATTAGTCTTAGTATTTGTGGGAGGATGCACTCACCTCGAAAGAAAGCTTACATTACCCAGTATCCCCTGCTAAAAAGTTGTTGAGCAAAGATATTACACCACATAGCAACTTATTTTGGCAGCTAGCACCCTCTTCTCCCCCTTCCCACTATAATCATTGAGATCTTCAACTTAAACTTTTCATGTTTCAAAATCAAGGAACACTCTGTAAATTTTCATCCGTTATGCTGCTGTAAAATAGTGTTCTCCATGCTATATTTTACACTGGACTTTTATACTCTGTCTTTTTACTTGAGTACCATAGTGACTTTAACTGGTAATATGATTATTGTATTTATTTGAAATAAAGCAAACCAAAACAAGGAAGTTTGGAATGGAGTTGGTAATGTCCGATCGTTCGTCATACAACGTTGCTGCAGAGAGCGAGTTGGAGATGGATGACTGGTATGCTGCATTCAATAAAGTTATTGAGTTCCAGAATCAACTGAGCAACATGGATAAAGTTAGTATCGCGTCAATCGACGACAGGGAAATACCAGGTAAGCATTGAAGATTTAAATATGCTAAGCTTGTGTGGAGCATCTAGTGTGTATTTGTCTTGTGAAAGGGATTATTCGTGGCTCTTATGCCTGAAAAAAATTAAATGAAAGGAAATTTGAAAAATCACTGTTTGTTGAGCTTGTAGAGAGGAGGTACAAAACTGTTGAATCTGAAAAATCCCAAAATGTAATTAATACATTAAATTGATCATTTAATTAAACAAGTAATTTTTTAAGATTTATTATTCAATATGAAAGTCTGGAAGGTGATTATAATTCCTTTTGAGGGTCTTGTCAAAGAATATAGCAAATATTTTAATTAGTATATGAACATTTTTCTTAATAATATACTTAATAAGTTGGTTATTTTTAGATGTAACTGTTTATGAACTCAATAGTGACAGTAAATATTTAAATTAATATAGGACTTAAGAACACAGACCAGTGTTTCAGTTGTGTCAGTGAACTTTGTATTAAGTGAACTGAGTTTGGCTTTCATGGAATCATTTGTATCAAATCAAATGTACAGTTAATTGTTTATCCAATATATTTTTTGGAGGTTTCATTTAGTTTAATTGAGTTTAACAATTAATTTGTTGATTATTAATAATTATTACAATAGAGTTTAGTAATTGTAATTATTTATTCAATTTGGCCCACACATCAATTCTTAGACATTCTTTCATAGTGTGTTGCTTTCTTATTATTTCATAGCCTGTTTCTTTCGTTTCCAAAACCCAAACCCTTCCATTTTTCTTTCCTCTTTATTTCTATTTCCTTCTTATTTCATTTTATGTTCCCAAATCTTCCATTACTTTCCCTTACATATAGTTCCTTTTCTTTCCTTTCTTATTTTGTTCTTATAATTGCATTATCAATTCTTTCATTTTCCTTTCAAATGTTTCCTTGTCTTTCTTGCCATTTCCATTCAAATATTTCCTTATCTTTCTTTTCCTTTGCTTGCTCTTTCATGAGGTTTAGGGAGTCGATATGTTTTACAGTAATTGTGAGAAAAAAAATCTTGATGTCAGATGATTTGAACCCACGACCCCGGAAAAGTATCTATAGCACCTTAATCAACTTCACCACAATTTAATCAAATTTACAATATCTATCAATATCATCTACCTGTATTATTACATTTATATCTGCCCTTAAAACTCATCTCTTTAACAGCTTGCCATAACATACACTGTGCCTTTGATCATTCTTTTTGGAAATGGCACATTACAAGTTTTTATTATTCTTAATGATGGATTGTTAATGCACTACTTAGGTTTAGGTAAATCGAAATTCAGCATCCTTATATTACCATGTAATTTATATGCATGTTTCCTCCATATGTTATCATATCTTGTTGGATTAAGTGACATGGAACTTAATAAATATTCAAACTTTTTAATTTAATTAACTATTACTCTTGAAGGCGTATCACCCACCTGCTTCACCAGGGATGAAGTTATGTTAGGGAAAAGATGGGCGGGCCGCCCAGCCTTGAAGGTTTCCAAACAGTCTAAAAACTTCATGGCCCTATACCCACCATTATTAACCTACTTTTCCATCCTTAAAATCCACACTTACTATTTAGAGATTACAAATGTTATCACCCATTCACCTTTGAAATGTTTTTCCCCAACCCTTAGTTTTCTACAGCTAAAACCCTGCTTCAAAGATATATAATTTACATGGCCTCCTAGAAGTTTATTAAAAAATAAAGAACCAGAAATATTTGTTTTGTGTAATTCTTGATGAATGTTTATGTATCTTGCAGATGCTGGTGAAGATATGTATTCTGGATTAAGCGAAAGCAAACATCCTGAACTAACACGTTACGGACGAGAAAATGAGCGAACTAATGCGCAAAAGCGCAAAGAAAATCGACAAAACCTCTTCCTCACCTACACCAGAATGCATGTAAGTTTTTAATGGTTATAAACTTGGTTTTTTGCAATTAAATAGAAATTAGTATTACTTTAAAGCAAGTAAATGGTTTTTTCTTTTCTGTCACTATAGCAACGGTCAGACAAGAGTCCATCAGAGAAGTCTTACAAGCCTTATGAAGAAAAATTTGGTGTTCGATTCGTGGTTGAGCCCAAGGTTCTTCGATTCCGTCTCTCTGCATGTATTGGGGCCAACGGGGAAGTTGACGAATCTGGAGATGGAAAGAAAGCAATCAATGTAAATCCAATATTAATATAATCGTAAATAAAATATATAAAGTTGACTGAATAATAATTTTATGCTTTTTTTTTAATATGAAACAGAAAGTAATAGGGAAATTTTATCATTTCCCTGCATTGAGCTTTTATTTGTTAAAATATGTTTTAATATCTAAAGTCATGACACCATATGCTGTGTACCGTAAGAATAGACAGCTGTTGATTTACTGATGCCAAATGCATAAGACAAATTAATGTAATCTTTTCAGTAATGAATGAGGAAATTTTTTTTTACAAAACAAGGAAAAGACATTATTAGTTAACATATTGTGAGGTGATTTAAAACCTATCACAACCGTGATTAGTATTTCAACCAATCAGATCATTTTCTCTAAAGTCTTAGAATATATAATTAATGTATCTATCTGACTTGTTAATCACAGGGACATATAGACAGATTAACTTATATTCTGATTATGAGATTGATCTAGGTCTTGCTCATCAGTTCTCAGTCAACGAAACTATCCATTTCCATAATGGAAAAGTAACAATGAACTTTTATTATTATTGTTGTTGTATTGTATATTTATATAGTGCATACCTAAAACTCTATGCACTTAACATTTCCAGATTAATTATTTTAAGATTTTAACTTTTTTCTCACATTGTAGATTATTTTTATTGTAATAAATGTATGTGTGTGTGTGATTTTTGGCCACCAATCACTGTCAGTTTACAAACCTTTATATGAGTTAGGATTAATTAATTTACAATTGCCAGTTATACATATTTGTAATGACAGTGGAGATGGTGATGGTAATATTGACACCAGGGAGCTTTCGATTGCACAACGACGGTGAGACGTAGAACGTAATGACGTCACTAAAAGTCATCTGCGCATGCAAGAATGTTTTTTTGCATGTATTCTAGGACGCAATTTGGCCAAATTTATGTATGCAGAGAACCAGGCTGAGAACGTAGGGATGCCCAGTAGGACGGTCACACATGAGTGATTCTGTTCTAGCGTTGCATCGTCGAACAACTTGGAAGTCCCTATTGATGTTAGTGGTACAGATGATAGGACACTAATAATGCCATTGCATTATTTTTGTCATTTATGTTCCTATGTAAAAGAAGGGGTTTTTTTTCAAACAATCAAATTTTTTCTATACATTCTAATTAATTACCAGATGGAGCCGTTTTTTGTGACGCTAGCTCTGTACGATGCAAAACACAGCAAGAAATTGTCAGAAGACTTTCACGTGTATCTAAATGACGAAATTATCCGGCAACAGCTGAGACTAGATTCGGACATTCCAAATGGATCAAGTTCATCGTCGTCTTCATCGTCATGGACACCAGATCTTGGAAACCTTAACGAGAATTGGTTGAAGTACCCAACAAGGGTAAGGTTTGACATTAGTTTTCGGTTTATACTAATATATATTCTAATGCTTTGTTCATACTATTAGGTTTATGTGACAAATAAATGTCCCTTTTTCTTTTGCATCAAGCTGCTCTTCCTATGAAATACAGGTTTAATAGGACAATGTCCAAGGCTCTGTCCACTAAATTTTATGTCACCAAATATGGGTGTGTGTGGTGTGCTCATATATGGGCATGTTGATGTCGCATTACAAACAAATATGGGCGTATCACATTTATTTGTCACATAACTTTGATAGAGTGGACAGAGCTTTAAGGGACATTTTCAATTTGTTTATCATAAAAATGATAGAAAATCCATCTCTGTTGGGTTTTTGGCGACAAATGATACTTATTCAGATTCAGTTCGTGTTTTGATTAAAGCAAACTGCTTCTAATCTTGACTTATCATACTGGTTTTAATCAACCATGTGTTTCTCACATCTCTCTGTCTCTCTATAATGAGATTCAATTTATAGAGTGCTTGGCTCCTAGACAATAACAACATAATTTTACTTGTTAAATAATTTGGTACCGCTATAACGGATATTGTGTTGCATTTTTCAAATGGCCTACTTTAGATTGTAGGCATCAAACTTTGGCCTAGCTGCACCAGGGACCAACATATCAAAACCTGGCAAGATGCTCTGACCATGAAAAATTATTCCATTTTCTTGTGATCTACAATAACTTGACTTCATTTGTGCTATAAATGACAAAATTTTGTATAAATTGTGTATTTCAATTACTAAAAGGAAGCGGTGTTACAAAATCAAATCTTTGATTTTTTCCTTCTGAGTGACTTCATGGCCCTCCAATAGTGTTTTATGGTACAAAATTGGGCTGCGGCCCATAGTTTGCGAACCATTTTTTTAGAGCATAATTTCCATTCTGTGAGTTACTTTATAGGAATGGAATTTTTCAAGTCAGGGAGGACTTCAGTAGTTTAATACATGGGCGGCGGAACCGGGGGGGCCGTGGGGGCCCGGGCCCCCCCACTTTTTGACGAAAAATATATAATGTCTGGAGAACTTTGTATGATCGTAAATGCAAAAAAAAAAAAGGAGGGAAGAAGGAGAAGGATGGGAAAGAGAATGTTTATCCAGTACCCGACCGAGTTACATTTTCTCGCAATTCACATTGGCGGATCTGGAAGGAGGGGATCATGGGTCCTGACCCCTCCCTTGTGCAACAAAAAAAAAGGGGAAAAAGAAAAGGATTCTAGACCTACCTTGTCAGGACCCGTGAGCTGATTTTTTTTTTTTTGCTATTAGAAAATTAGAATTTTGAAGAACATAAAATTCATTAAAACACACTTCAAATGTCGGGAAAGCTCAATTCCCGCCATCTAGGAATTAAAACTTTCCCGGGGGAGAACCCCTGGACCACCCTTTCTTTTTGGGATTTATCGATTCATGGAAAAAAAATTACGCATGCAACTACTCATTTGTTTATGTATGTATACACACATAAAATATAAAATGAGAAAAATTTACCTGACCTTTTTAAAGAGGGGAAAACCTTGATTTTGAAGAACTTTAAAAGTCATTAAAAGACATTTTAGAAGTCAGGTAAGCTCATCTCCTGCCATCTAGAAATCGAAATTTTTCCGGGGAACCCGGACCCTTTATCTTTGGAGTTCATTGATTAATTGAATCATTTTCAAGGGGTGGGGGAGAACCTTGAATTTTGAAGAATTTGAAGGTCATTAAAAGACACCACAAAAGTCGGGGAAAGCTCATTTCCCGCCTTCTAGGAATCAAAATTTTCCTGGGGAAGAACCCCCGGACCCCCTTTCTTT